GTGTATTCAGTGTTTGGGCTGTGCTCATGCTGGCTCGCAGCTCGGGTTCTTCGCCAAAAGACCCCGAGTCACTGCGGCTGCTTGCCACTCTGGTCCTTCTACCTAGGACCAGAGGCCGCAGCGATGTGCGCCGCGGAAGAGCATGGGGAGGAGGGATTAGTTTCGCCGGGGCAATCCCCGCGAGCTTCCCGTTCTTCCCTTGCTTCGTGCTTACCAGTCGAGTTTCCAAATGAGTTTGAGAGCCCGTCCCTCCCCCACCCTGCCCCGAGCGCTCGCGGCTGAATGATTGGTTTCTGGGTGCTGAGCGTAACACTAAGCTGCACTCGGCCCCGGTGCCTTTGTTCCCGAAAGTGCACGAGGAGCTGATGAAATCGTGGAAGGCCCCTTTTTCATCCAGAACACGGTACACCGGCTCCTCTGCCCTCACCGCCCTCGATGGGGGTCCAGCGAGGGGGTATACGGAGGTTCCCCAGGTGGAAAGAGCGATTGCGGTGCATCTTTGCCCACAAAAAGCCGCCACCTGGCGGGGCCGCACGAGACTCCCGTCCAGGGCCTGTAAGTTTTCTTCGTCCCTAGTGGCGAAGGCTTATGCGGCTTCTGGAAAAGCTGCATCCGCCCTGCATGCTATGGCCATCCTGCAGGTCTACTAGGCCAAAGCGTTGAGAGCTGCACGAGGGTGGTCCCAACCCAGAATATTACAGTAACTGCACTCGGCGACTGGCTATGCCCTCCGGGCTACGAAGGTCATTGCGCAGGCTCTGGGGAGGGCGATGTCCACTTTAGTGGTCCAGGAACGCCACCTGTGTCATCCTGGCTGAGATGCAGGAAGCCGAGAAAGTACGCTTTCTTGATGCACAGGTTGGTCTCTTTGGTGACACCGTGGAAGAATTTGCCCAGCAGTTCTCCATGGTGAAGAAGCAGACGGAGGCCTTCAAACACATCCTGCCTCAGCGTGGGTCAGGTCCTGCTCCTGCATCCCCGAGTCAGCAGCCCTCATCTGCTCGTCACCGGGGACGGCCTCCTGCGAGGAATGCTGAAGCCCCGCAACAGCCTGGGCCTTCAGTCAAGCCTGACCAACGGCCCACCACTCGCAGGAAGGTGGCACCGCCAGCCCATCATCAGGGCACCAGGAACCCTTGCAAGGCTTCAAAGCGTTCCTGAGACGGGCGACCCAGGGAGGAGAGACCATCTGGCCAGCCTGGATCCATTTCCGACGGGGAGACGGGAGGTGGATTCGGCTCCACCTCGGCTGTCTGCCACTTGGCAGATAGCCACTACCTGGTCAATAAAAGAGCAATTTCCTTCTTCTCTGGGTCACACACACAGCATTTTTGGCCCTCCCATTTTCTCCTCACGTTCAGAGTGTCTATCACTCAGCCAACATGATGCATGCTGGCGAACTCTTGTTCCCTTATCCGTCGGTGGCACATGTGACAGACCCTGCGGACAAGGCGTGGTGTTTTACAGGACGTTTCACCTCCTACCACATAGGGGTGGGCAATATGATCTAAAATTCATATCATGATATTTTACACTGTCCAGGCGATATGGATATTATATTGCGATATGAGAAAAAAAATTACATGCAAAATATTTTAACCTTGCATAACTAGAAAAAGTGAGGGATTGGACATAGACCTGAAAAGTCTTTTTTTATTGTGCCATTGTTTTTCAATGTTTTGTGTGTTTGAGTAGGCCAGTGGTTCCCAAACTTTTTCTGCCGGGCCCCCCTTTTGTAGAGAAAAATATTTTCAAGGCCCCCCACCCCCTTTTTTTTGGAAAGTCTCCTATGCTCACCAAAGCTACATTTATTTATTAAAAATACAGTAAACACTGTAATATTGTGAAATATTGTCAATTTAAATGATCTATTAAAATGTTTTAACATATAGGCTACTGTATTCCTGTGATCAAAGCTGAATTTTCAGCATCATTACTCCAGTCTTCAGTGTCACATGATCCTTCAGAAATTATTCTAATATGCTGATTTGCTGCTCAGTAACCATTTCTGATTATTATCAATGTAGTAAACATTTGTGCTGCTTAATATTTTTGAGGAAACTATTTTTTCACGATTCTCTTATGAATATTTGAAATTGTTTTTTGTGTCAGAGAGCTGGAGTTAGTCAGAAATAGAATGGGGCATCAGTTTACTGTCATGCATTTGTCGTGCCGCGTCGCACCACATCCACAGCAGAGAACATCACTGGGTTCTATTTGCTTTTGTCAAATCGCACCGCTCACGTCTGTGTGTAGACACATTGTTTTGGTATTTGTGAATCTTAAGTATATTCATAATCTGCTTTGCGTTTACCTGGCACTGGAAGTCCTTTCACAAACTTGTAACTTTCATGCTTAGAGCAGAACCATGCATCGTTCATTTATATTTCTACATGGCTCCCTGCAATACAACTCTGATTCTTCAATCACGCCATCTAGTGGTCTGTTATTGATACAACCACAATTGCTACAACTGATAACGGAGCGCTTAAGCAAGTACTGCGAGTCATGTTGAGGCAATTAAAATGTCAAATTAATATTTTGCATTCAATTATTTACTTGTCAGGCAAGTGGCCGCATGATAAGCGAGAAAATTACGCAGTGTAGTCTTTATCACCCTGCAGAGGTTTCTTTTGCAAAATAATCTGGTGACTGTACACTATCCCTCAGCCTTGCCGCTTTGGGAACCACTGGAGTAGGCGATTTGTGCTCTATTAATTTGATCTGTTACGATGCTCTATGTGTTTGATTACTAATGCCTGTGTAGTACGGCGTTGCACACCGAGGACAAAAATGTTCAGCCTCGACTCTTTTAACATCATTTTAACATTTTAACATCATTTGTGTTCAAATTGGCAAAGCGTACCAAATTAAACAAAACAATGTAAATGCAAAATTTGAATTAATGGTTATATAACGGTATCCACGGTATAGCAAAATCCATATCATGGAACAACATAATACCGGTTGTCACATTCATACCGGTATAGCACCCACCCCTACTACCACAGCGCCTTCCACTTCAGCCACAGGAACCCTGCCCGAGGTACGTTGAACATGGTTCCTTTGAGACCGTTGGCAGGGTATCTGGAAGCTTGGTTAAGCCTCTCCAATTCCTCCCGATGTCTCCTCAGAACCATTTGGCTCGGCTATGCGATTCAGTTCACAAGGCGCTTGCCCAAGTTCAGGGGCATTCTGTTTACCTCAGGACGAGGCAAGAATGCCCCTGAAGGGGCGAGAATTCGGGCGGAGGTTGCAACCCTTCTCAAGAAGGGTGCAATCGAGCCTGTCCCCTTGGCCGAAATGAAGAAGGGGTTTTACAGCCCGTACTTCATTGTACCCAAGAAGGGCGGGGGGCTCAGACCAATCCTGGATTTGAGGACTCTGAACCGGGCCCTTCACAAGCTTCCGTTCAGAATGTTAACCCTCAAGCACATATTAACAAGTCAAGTCAAGTCGAGCTTTATTGTCATTCCGCTACATGTGTGGACATACTGTGGAATTAAATGTCGTGTCTCGCAGGACCACGGTGCTACATAAATAAACATAAATATAAACATACAACACTAGACGTAAGAACAATTTTTAAACCTATACATAACTAACTTACTGAAAGCAGTAATCTAACTATACATATACTATAAATAGTTGACTATACATATACATAACCCAAGACAGATTATACAAGTACTTTACATAATAACTGTGCATGACATTGTGCAAAAGAGGTATTTAAGGTTAAGAAGCAAATAGTGCAATATGATTTGTGGTGCATTCACAAGTAAACATTTGTTAAGTCCTTAAGTTCTTGTAACATGGAGTGTTTATAAGAAAGTGTCTGGTGCATTTAGGGTGTTTCTACAGGTGGTTTGTTCAGCCCACGCACCTATGTGTAGCACACTCCGAGTTGCACAATGTTTTCCTTGTAACATGGAGTGTTTATAAGAAAGTGTCTGGTGCATTTAGAGAGAAAAGAGTGTGTTTCTACAGGTGGTTTGTCCAGCCCACTCACCTGTGTGTAGCACACTCAGAATTGCACAATGTTTTTGAGGTTTTCAACGGTTTACATGTGGTGTGGTGTGAGGTGGGGGATGGGGGGTGAGAGGATCTTGGTTTCAGGAGGTAGGGTTGTGGATGCCTGTGTGTAGCACACTCAGAATTGCACAATGTTCTTGAGGTTTTCAACAGATTTCATGTGGTGCATGTGGTGTGGTGTGGTGGGATGGGGGGAGAGAGGATCCTGGTTTCAGGAGCTAGGGTTGTGGATGAGGTTTCAGAGGGGGGTGAGGTGATTGGAATTGAGGGCTCTCACAGCCTGGGGGAAAAAGCTGTTGAGCAGTCTTTCAGAGCGGGCTCTGATGCTCTGGTACCCTCTTCCTGATGGCAAGAGCTGGAAGAGATAATGGGAGGGATGGATGGAGTCCTTCACGATACTGGTGGGTTTACTGGAACATCGTGCAAGAAAAATGTCCAGAATGGACTGGAGAGGGGCACCGATGATCTTTGCAGCTGTGTTCACTGTCCGCTGTAGGGTCTTGCGGTCAGCAGCACTGCAGTTCCCATACCAGACAGTAATGCAGCTTGTCAGCACACTCTCAATGGTGCCCCTGTAGAATGGATGAGTGGAGGGAGACTTGCTCTTTTAAGTCGGCGCAGGAAGTGGAGCCGTTGTTGCGCCTTCTTGGAGAGTGATGTAGTGTTGGTGGTCCAGGTGAGGTCTTCTGTTATGTGCACTCCAAGGAATTTTGTACTGCTGACTCTCTCCACAGTCGAGCTGTCGATGGTCAATGGGGGGTGTTAAACAGAGTTCCTCCTGAAGTCTATAACAACCTCCTTTGTCTTACTCACATTGAGGGACAGGTTGTTTGCACCACACCATTCAACCAGTTGTGCCACTTCCTCTCTGTAGGGTGTTTCATCATTGTTGCTGATGAGACCTACCACAGTTGTGTCATCAGCAAACTTGATGATGTGGTTGGAGCTGAACTTGGCAGTGCAGTCGTGGGTCAGCAGCGTGAAGAGCAGCGGGCTGAGCACACAGCCCTGTGGGGCACCTGTGCTCAGTGTGGTAGTGCTGGAGGTGTTGCGGCTGACACGGACTGACTGAGGTCTTCTAACATGTGTCACAGATCAGGATTGGTTTGTGGCAATAGACCTGAAGGATGCGTACTTTCATGTCTCAATCCTAACAAGGCAGAGGCCGTTTCTTCGGTTTGCCTTCGAAGGACGGGCATATCAGTACAAAGTTCTTCCCTTTGGGCTGTCCCTGTCTCCTCGCGTCTTTAAGAAGATCGCAGAGGCTGCCCTTGCCCCTCTCAGGGAAGTGGGCATTCACATTCTCAATTACCTCGATGACTGGCTGATCCTAACTCACTCGCGAGAATTGGTTTGCGCACACAGGGACATGGTCTTCGACCACCTAGCCCGATTGGGACTTCGGGTCAACTGGGAAAAGAGCAAACTCTCCCCTGTGCAGAGCATCTATTTTCTCGGTGTAGAATTGGACTCGGTTACGATGACTGCACGCCTCTCTCAGGATTGTGCTCAGTCAGTGCGAAAATGCTTGAGGGCTCTCAAGTAGAGAACAGCGGTCCCTCTCAAAAACTTTCAGAGGCTCCTGGGGCATATGGCGTCCTCAGCCGCGGTCGTGCTGCTGGGACTGGTGCATATGAGACCGCTTCAGTACTGGCTTCGTACCCGAGTCGGGCATGGCATCAGTCCTTGGGAGGACATCTCTTTTCTACGGGCAGGAGTGCCCTTAGAACAGGTGTCCAGACGCATTGTTGTTACAACAGATGTTTCCAAGACAGGCTGGGGCACCGTGTGCAACGGGCATGCAGCATCAGGGGTCTGGACAGGCCCTCGACTGCATTGGCATATCAATTGATTGGATTGGCCTTGAGGAGGTTTCGACCCTTGATCCAAGGCAAGCACGTGTTGGTCCGGACTGACAACACAGCGACGGTTGCATACATCAACCACCAGGGTGGTGTTGGCTGCCATCGCATGTCACCCGCCATCTCTTACTTTGGAGCTAGCACAGACTCAGGTCTCTGCATGCCACTCATATCCCAGGCGACCTCAATCGTGTAGCAGATCTCCTCTCACGACAGGTCTCGCTCAGGGGTGAGAGCTGTAGAGCTGCGTTGATGTCTTGCTCTGGAGGTAGTGTTTATGCAAATTATTGTGCCTGAGTGATGTCATCTGGCAACTCAGATCCAAACGAGCCATTTTTGGAGCTTGATTAAATAAATGCTTTGTTTATAGTGACGATGACGTTTTAAGCTATGAAACTTGCAGGATGTTTTAAAGGGGTCATATGACGATGCTAAAAAAGAACATTATTTGGTGTATTTGGTGTAATGAAATGTTTATGCGGTTAAAAAAACACATTATTTTCCACATACTGTACATTATTGTTTCTCCTCTATGCCCCGCCTTTCTGAAACGCTTCGATTTTTACAAAGCTCATCGGTCTATAAAGCGAGGTGTGCTCTGATTGGCCAGCTTAT